AGCAGGGCCTCGCACACATCCATACACACATACATGTGTCGCGATATAGACGTATACGTATATACGCCTATGCACACATATATGTAGTAGACGCCTCTTAGCAGCTGCCATGTGAGTAGTACAAAGAAACGCTTTCTGGCGAAAAATTCCGTTTTCTCCGTAGGTCTCTCCACAGCAAGAGCTATATATATATACACATGTGTATATGTATGTAATATACGTATGCATGTATGTATGTATGTATATATATTTAATGCTAGCTGATACTCGTGACGCAGGAGGTACGAAGAAGTGTCTTTGTGAAATGAAAGTCGCTGCATTCCTTCCGCATATCTAACCTACCGCACGCATATATATATATATATATATATATGTATACATATATATATGTATGTATATGTATATATATATTTCTATCTACGTACATATATTTGTGCATATGTCTGAGAAACGTGCTTACTGCAAATCGCATAGATCTCATTCTACTTTATGTAGACACCTTCAGCAACAGCCGCATATATATATAGATGAATATATATATATATATATATATATAAATGTATATCCACCTATATGTATGTATATATATATATATATATATATGCATATACGCGTGTGAGTGTATATATATAAATATACATCCCTGTATGCCTACATATATTTCGTACACTATACATACATAAAATATGTATAGACATATATATATGTATATATGTAGATGTATGTGATGACTGGTAATACCTGTTACATAGGGAGTAGAGAAAAGCGCCTGTCTGAAACCGAAGAAGTTCCACTCCCTCCAGATGACAACTTCTTTTTCTGGATTTCTTTGTTGTTCTTCATCGCTAATATTTCGAACACCTACTGCCATCTTCTCTTCTTTATCTTCCTCTTCTTCTACAACTATTACCTCTCCTCTTTGCTGCTGCTCTTGCTGTTGTTGCTGCTGCCGGTAGCTGCTGCAGCCCACACGCGTACGTTCCGCTGCGCCTCCTACTCCTCTTCCTTCTCCTCCTCCTTGCATATACTCGTCATGAAGACAAGAAGAAGGAGAGTAATAAGAAGGAACATGAGTAGCCGCGGCAGCAACAGCAGTAGCATTAGCCGCGGCAGTAGTAGTAGTACCAGTAACAGCAGCAGCAGCAATACCGCTTGTTTCAGTTGCTGTGGCCGGTGCTGGCTCTCTTCCTGCTGCTGTTGCTGTTGGATCATCAGCGAAATAGAGAAAGATCAGGCGCAAACGTAATAGACCTACTACTGTCTGTAGACTATGTATAGCCTGCCCATCAAGAAGGGCTAGAAGTCTCGTAAATTTCAATATGTCTATATTATTACTACTTCTGCCTGCAAGTACTCGTCCCAGCCTTCCATAGTCAAGCTGTAAACCATATATCAAATTACTACTACTACTAAAAGGCCCACTTTCATCATCAACAGCGGCATTGTTGGTAGGGCCATACAGCTGCTGCTGCTGCTGTTGGTGTGGGGTGTGCTGCTGCTGTTGTAGGGTGCGCTGCTGCTGCTGTTGTTGCTGTGGGGTGTGCTGCTGCTGCTGCTGCTGCTCTTGTTGTGGGGTCTGCTGCTGCTGTTGTGGGGGATACTGTAGTTGCTGCGCGACGTGCTGCTGCTGCTGTTGCTGCTGCTGTCGCTGTTGCTGCTGCTGTTGCTGTCGCTGCTGTTGCTGCCGTTTCGAAGTAGAATAGCAAGCAGACGACGAATACAAGAAATATGCGCCAGTTGGATATATATCTCTTTGATCCATGCAGGCATAGGCTAACCAGAATTCTTCGATTTCTTCAGTCCCTATGTAATAATTATGTACTTTTGATGAAGGTGATACGTTATATATATGTCTCCTTCTTCTTTGGAGATATTCCTCACTGCGTATGTCCTTCTTTCTCATATCTTCCTCTTCTTCTGTCTCTATGTATCTTTTGACGTCTATGCCGCTGCTGCTGCTGCTGCTAGAAGAACCGCTGCTGCTGCTGCTGCCGCTATTGGTGTTATTCTCCTCGTTATTACTATCACTTTTGCTGCTCCTAGTATGACTAATCTCACTGAAGTAATTATTATGGCTGCCATCGCAATAGTACCAGTAGCTTCTAGATTCGCTATACGGACTGCTATTTATTTCCTCATGCTGTTGTTGCTGCGGCTGTTGCTGCTGCTGCTGTTGCTGCTGCTGGTCTTCCTGCTGTCCCTGCTGCAGTGCTTGCTGCAGCAGCAGCTGCTGCTGCTCCTGCTGCTGTCGTAGGTGTCTTAGCTTTACAAGGCGATTGAAAACGGCAGCGATGTACTGTAGGTTATCATTTGAGAACCGTGTTTCTCTCCATAGTTTTGCTGCATCTTCTTTTCTTATCAGCAGACCACCATCGGCATCTTTGATATAACAAGATCTACAAATTTTAGATGTGAATATATCTTTTCTATTTCTTCTCTCAGCTTGCGTTTCCTTCTCCTCGTCTTCTTCTTTTTCTTCTTCTTCTTGTTCTTCTTCCTCTTCTTCTTTCTGCTGCGGGTGCTGCTGCTGTTGTTGTTGTTCTTCTTTTTCTTCTGCTTCCTGCAGTGAACCACCTGCTATGTATACGTTCCTTATATTTGCCGCCGATACTATACCTCTCCTACTTCCTCCTATTGGCGCTCCCGCTGTTGTTGTTGTTGTTGCTGTTGCTGCTGTTGCTGCTGCTGTTGCCGCTGCTGGTCGTTGGTGTGGTCGTTGCTGCGGTGCTGACAGAGGACGTGCTGCTGCACCACCACCAGCAGTAGCACAAGCGGCACCAGCAGCAGAAAGAGAAAGAGAAAGAGGAGGATAGATATACGAGAAAGAAGAAGAACAGGAAGAAGAAGAAGAAGAGGAAGCAGAAGCCGGGGGAAAAGGAGGGCGATCTGCAGCAGCAGACAGAGAAGTATATGGACGTCTAAAAGCCGAAGACGACGAACTAGCAGCAGCAGCAGCAGCAGCGGAAGCAGCAGCAGCAGAAGCGGGAGTAGCAGCAGGAGAAGACCATGCAGCAGCAGGTAAGAGGTAAAAAGGAGGGCGAGAAGCAGCAGCAGCGGCAGCACCGGCACAACGAAGCTGTTGCTCGTGTTGCTGTCTTGCTATATAACACTGCTCCTGCTGCTGCTGCTGCTCCTCATCCCACATATGTAGAATTTCGCTCTCATGGTGCCGCTGCTGCTGCTGGTGTTGCTGGTGCAGTCTAAGCTGCTGCTGTTGCTGCTGTTGTAATAATTGCTGCAGCTGCTGCTGCTGTCGGCTGCTGTCTCGTCTCCTCTTTTCTCCCTCTTCTTCTTCTTCGTCTTCCTGCTGCTGCCGCCGCGGCTGCCATTGTTCCTTCGTATGTGCTGCCCGCCTCTCGTAACTGGGGACTTCAGTATATATAATGTTATTATCATCGCAATATCTTTCGCCTGCTGCCGCTGCTGCTTCTCCCCTCCTATCTAATACTGCTGCCGCTTCGTCTTCTTGTTCTTCTTCTCTACCTGCTGCTGCTGCTTCTTCTCCATCTTCTTCTTCACTCCCCGGTGCATCAAGTGCTTTGCTACCCGCTGCGGCAACTGCTGCAGCATATGCTGCTACTGCACGTGTTGCTGCTGCTCTTGCTGCTGCTGCACGTGTCGCTGCTGCTGTTGCTGCTGCTCTTGCTGCGGCTGCTGCTGCTGACAGCTCTTCTGCCTCTACTTTCGTCCCATGTGGTCCCCCTCTCTGCCCGCTTGCTGCTGCTGCTGCTTCCTCTTCTTCTTCCCCTCCTCCTCCTCCTCCTCCTCGTCTCTGTACATTCGTATATACAGGTGGTAAAGCTGCACCAGCACCAGCATGGAGCAGAGGATATGTAGTAGCAGACGCTGTGATAGGAGCTGCTGCCGAATCACTACCAGCAGCAGGAGGAAGAAGAGGAGAAGAAGGTACATGGGACGATAAAGCAGCCGGGCCAGGAGCAGCAGCAGCAGCAGCGAAAGAAGGATGGTGATATCTTACTCTATTCCGAGATGCAGCAGTAGCAACTGCAGCAGCAGGAGCAGCAGCAGGAGCAGCACAAGCAGGACCAGCAGCAGGAGCAACACAAGCAGGAGCAGCAGCCGGAGCAACACAAGCAGGAGGAGCAGCCGGAGCAACACAAACAGGAGCAGCAGCAGGAGCAACACAGGCAGGAGCAGCAGAAGAAAGATGTGCAGTATACAGTTCTGCTCCTCCTTTTCCTACTGCTGCTACTAGTCTCCCGGCTTTTCCCCCTGCTTCTCTTGCTGCTGCCGCCGCTGCTGATATCGCTGTCGCTGCTGTCGCTGTTGCTGCAGTCGCTGTTGCTGCTGTTACTTTTGCTGCTGCTGCCTTTGCTGCTGTTGCTTTTGTAATTGGTACTACCATAGACGGAGACGAGACGGAACAGTAACTAAGAGGAGATGGCACAGCAGGAGACGAGACGCAGGAAGAGAAACGGTCGGGGGATGATGAAGGACCTGCGATCGGCTGCAGCTGCACCGATGGCGTCACGCGTAAACGTGGATGACTGCCCCGCTGCTGCTGCTGCTTCTGCTGGTCCGCTGTTACTCGTGAAATATACTGCTGCTGCTGCTGGGTCTGATGAAATACTGAGAGAGATGATATAGACTGCTGCTGCTGCTGCTGCGTTTGTTGAAATACTGGGAAAGGTGATATATACTGCTGCTGCTGCTGCTGCAGATGTGTATGGCGCGGTTGCTGGTGGTGTGAATGCATGTACTGCTGACGCTGCTGTGGGGCATGTACATACTGCTGATGCTGGTGCTGCTGTAGACGTAGATGCTGCTGTTGCTGCTGCTGTTGTGAGGGCGTGTGCTGCAGCTGTTGTGCCCCTATATCTTCCCACTGCCGCTGATATATACTGTTAGTCTGTTGTTGCTGAATACTGCGCTCGTGCTGCTGCTGCTGTCCGGGGTGCTGTACACAAGTTAATAGCTGCTGTTGTTGTCGTTGCTGCTGCTTCCACTGCTGTTGTTGTTGCTGCTGCCGCAGCTGCTGCTGTTGTTGGCGCTGCTGCTGCTCTTGTGTGTGCTGCTGCGTGTGCGTCTGCTGTACCTGCTGCAGCAGCAGCTGCTGCTGCTCTTGTATAGGCTGCTGTTGATGATATATCTGCGGTCGTGGCATCTCTTCATCTTCTTCTTCTTGTGCAGCAGGCGGCAGCAGCAAGCTGCTGCTGGTACGGTGGTGCAGTCTATATAGTCCGGTATGCTCTACTACTTGCTGTTGTTGTAGATGCTGCTGCTGATGTTGCTGCTGCTGCTGCTGATGCTGCTGCTGCTGCTGCTCTTCCTCGACGCCACTTGGTGAGGCCGGCAGGTATAAAATACGCTCCTGCTGCTGCTGCCGCTGTTCTCCTGCACTAATAGGGGAAGCCGGCAGGTATAAAATACGATGCTGCTGCTGCAGCTGCTCTTGCTGCTCTCCTGCGTTACTAGGGGAAGCCGGCAGGTATAAAATACGAGGCTGCAGCTGCTGCTGTAGTTGTACACTGGAGGTAGGCATGTATAAGGCATGCTGCTGCTGCTGTTGTCGGACACTACTAGGTGAGGCCGAGAGGTATACCATACGCTGCTGCTGCTGCTGCTGTTGCTGTTCTCCTACACTACTGATGGAGGCCGGCAAGTCTGAATTACGCTGCTGCTGCTCCTGCTGCTGTTCTTCTTGTACACTAACGGGTGAGGTAGGCAGGTATAAGACACGCTGCAGCTTCTGCTGCTGCTGCTGCTGTTGCTGTTCGGGCGAGGTGGTCAGGTATAAGACATGCTGCAGCTGCTGTTGCTGCTGCTGCTGTTGCTGCTGCTGCTGTTGCTGCTGCTGCTGCTGTTGCTGCTGCTGCTGCTGTTCTTGCACACTGCTAGGAGAGGTAGGCAGGTATAAGACACACTGCAGCTGCTGTTGCTGCTGCTGCTGTTGTTCCTGTACGCTACCAGGTGAGGTAGGCAGGCATAAGATATGGTGCAGCTGCTGCTGCTGTTCCTGTATGCCGCTGAGAGAGTTAGCCATGCACAACATACGCTGCTGCTGCTGCTGTTTTCCCAAACCACTAGGTGAAGTAGGAAGGCACAAGGCATGCTGCTGCTGTTGCTGCTGTATGTACCGCAGGTGCTGCCGCTGCTGTGGTTGCTGCTGCTGCTGGTGCTGTTGTTGCTGCTGGAAGAGAGTACGACGTGTCATACTTGAGTATTGGATTGTCCCTGCCTCGCTTCCTGCTGCTCTCGCTGCTGGTCCGTTCGCTGCTGCTGCTGCTGCTGTTGCTTCTGCCGCTATCGTGTACGAGCGTGCTGCTGGGTATATTGGTGAGTCTATGGCAGGTGTTGGTAAACAAGCACCTGCTGCTGCTGCTGCTGGATAGAGTGCTGCTACTTCTTCTTTTGCTGCTTCTGCGTTTGCTGCTGCTGCTGCTGGTGGTGCTGCTTCTGCTGCTGCTTCTTCTGTTGTCTCTGGTGGAGGTGACGCTGCTGCGGGCTCTGCTGCGGGCGCTGCTGCTGGCGCTGCTGCTGTTGCTGTTTTTGCTGCTGCTGCTGCTGCTGCTGCTGCTGCTCCTGTTGCTGCTGCTTCGGTTGCTCCCGGGTGTTGATACGTTGCAGCAGCAGCGGCACTCCTGCTACTACATTGTAAGAACTGATTACATACATATTCATGTTCTTCAGGTGGAGACAGAGGTGCAGCAGCAGCAGCATCCTTCAGTAACCACCCGATTGCTGTCCACCTCTTTTCCAATGGACGAGACCCCACACTTTCTTCTGCTGTTTCAGCGCCTCCTGCTGCTGCTGCTGCTGTTATATTTCGTGCTGCTGCTATATCTGTTGCTGCTACTATATTTGTTGCTGCTGCTATATTTGTTGCTGCCGCTATACTTGCTGCTGCTGCTGCATTTGTTGCTGCCGCCGTTGCTGCTGTACGTGTGGGGGCTGGGGCTGCTGCGCTTCTTGTCGTCGCTGCTGCTGCGCTTCTTGTCGTCGCTGCAACTGCCGCTGCTTCTTCTTCTTCCTCTCTTGTTGCCTCCCGTGTTGTTGCTAGACTTCCATTTGTTGCTGCTGATGCTGCTGCTGCTGTTGTTGTTGTTGCAGGTATAGAACCACCATACCCCACCGCTGCTGCTGTCGGGCCAGCAGAGACATAATAAGGCGCCATTCCTCCTGCTGCTGCCTTCTCTTCTTCTTTTTCTCCCTCTTCTTTTTCTTCCTCTCTTTCGTCTTCTTCTGCCTCAGCAGACATGTGTCCCTCTAAATCCTGTGCTGCTGCTGTTCCTGCTGCTCTTCCTGTTGCTGCTGCTGGGCTATGGCTTCGCAGATCTTGCTGCTGCAATTGGTATAAAAACACTTCTGCTGCCTCGGACAGGGAAGCAGGGGAAGCATCAGGTACTGCTCCAGTAGCAACAGCAGCAGGCGTAGCTGACGCAGCAGAAGCAGCAGCAGGTGTAGCTGCAGCAGCAGAATCAGTAGAATGTTTGTATGACTCAAAAGAAGCAGCAGCAGCAGCAGCAGGAGTGCCAACAGCTGCAGCAGCAGCAGCAGCAGTGTTCGGAGGTAGTACAGCAGCAGCAGCAGCGGCAGTCCTATGAGGCGTACTAGACGTTTCCGGTATATAATTGACAGATGTAGCGGCGGAAGCGGCTGCAGCACCAGCATCAGCGGCAGCAGCAGCATCATCAGCAGCAGCGGCGGCAAGAGTAGGGAATCTGCATATATTGCTGCTCCTCCTTCTACTCCACCTCCTGCTGCTGCTTGTAGGACTAGGCGTGTATATCATATTATTACTACCATAGGAACCTGCAGGTTCTGCTGCTGCTGTTGTTGCTTCTGGGCCTACTAGAGAGCTTGCTACACTTGCTCTTGCTGGTGGCAACAGTGGTTCCATTTCTTCTTCTTCTTCTGCTGCTGTCCGAGAAGCAGCAGCAGCAGCAGCAATAGCTGCAGCAGCAGCAGTAGCTGCAGCGGAAGCAGCAGCAGCTGCTGCAAATGAGGACGATAATGACTCTGGTGTTGCAGCAGCAGCAGCGGCAGCAGCATCCGCAACAGCAGCACTAGCAGGAGCAGGAGCAGCAGCAGCAGCAGAGGTAAGTGATGTTGTGGGAGATGATATACCTGCTGCTTGTCGCGTTCCCGCTGTTTCTGCTGCTGCTGCTCTTGTCGGTGCTACGGCCGCTGCTGCTCTTGCTGCTGTCTTCGCAGCTGCTGCTGCTGCTGCTGTTCTAGTACGTATACGACTGGCTGATACCTCAAAAGGAGCAGCAGGAGGAGAGAAACCAGAAGAGGAGACGCCATAGATACAATTATAAAAGATATCGTCAGGTATGGGGCAGACAGGCGAAGCACAAGCAGCAGGTGCGGCAGCAGCAGCAGGAGGAGAAGGAAGAGAAGCGGGGCTAGTAGCAGCTGCTGCTGCAGCAGCACCAGCAGCACTAGTAGGAGTTGCAGGAGAAGCAGCGGTATCAGCAGGAGAAGGAGGAGATATAACACTGGCGGTAGCCGCACCAAGACAGATACTGCGGCGGCGGGTAATACTACTACTACTGCTACTACTACCATCACTAGTAGTGCTACTACTACTACTACCATTACTACTACTGCTACTACTACTACTACTATTACCAGTACTACTGCTAATACTACTCCTACTTCTGCTACTATTGCTGCTAGTATTACTACCGGCAGCAGCAGCAGCAGCAGCTCCTGTAATAGTACGTGATAAAGTACCAGCTACTGTATTATTTTGAGTTGTACTAGTAGGAGGAGGAAGAGGGGGAGGAGGAGGAGGAGGAGGAGGAGGACGAGGAACATCTGCTGAAGAAGAAGCAGCACCAGCAGTAGTAGAAGTATGAAGACACGAGGAAGTATTACCAGCAGCAGCTGCAGCACTACTGTAAATAGCACGAGAGAAGGTGGTAGGTACTGCAGCATCGCTAGCAGCAACATCGGCAGCCGCAGCAGCAGCGGCGGAGGAAGACGAAGACGAAGAAGAAGAAGAAGAAGAAGAAGAAGAAGAAGAAGAAGAAAAAGGAGAAGAAGAAAAAGGAGAAGAAGAGGAAGAAGAAGAAGAGAAAGAGGAAGAAGAAAAAGAGGAAGGATAAGTAGCATGTGATAGAGTCAGAGCGGAATGTGGGCGGATTCTTGTATTCTTACTACTTGTTGATATATTATGAATATCCACTGGACTCTGGCTTTTCTTCGTAGGTATCGAAGCTCTACGTCTTCTATTATTACCAGACTTAGAGCGGGCCATGTGTCTTATATTGTCTTCGTTAGTAGTGGCTAATTTATCTACATATGTAGAGTGTTCTTCTGCTGCCTTACCGTTGTATATAGGAGATACATGTAACATATTACCACTGTTGGTAGCAGTCGTAGTAGACACGTTGTATGTACTCATAGGTGGCTCCTCTGCCTTGTAGAGAGGTATAAGACATGCATCTCCTATATTGTTACCAGTAGTACTATTATTAGTAACATTACTATTGCGACTACTATCAGCGTGAGCAGTAGATATATAACAAGTACTTGAAGGCCGCTCCTGCGTAGGCCTACTGATATGTGAGGAAGGCTTATATTTAGTATTGTGATGCGTAGATGCAGTAGTAGCAGATATCGTAGTAGCAGACATATCGTAGAGAGAAAACGTACTCATAGGCCGCTCTGCGTTATAGAGCGGCATAGAAGGCGTATACAGATCTCCGCCTGCTGCTGCTCCTGCTGCTCCTGCTGCTGCCCCTGCCTCTGCTAGAGGTGCTCCTGCTTGCACGACAGATGACGGTGTAAAGATATCGAAATACTGTGCTGCTCCGCCTCCTGCTGCTCCAGCTCCTGCTGCTGCTGCTGCTCCTCCTCCTGTTGCTGCTGCTGCCGCTACTCCTGCTGCTGTAAGCTGTCCTCCTCCTCCGCCTCCTCTTGCTGCTGCTGCTGCTGCTGGCGTCATTGTTGCTGCAGTTGCTGCTGTCAGTATTGTTGTCGTTGTTGCTGCTGCTGCTGCCGGCGTTATCGTTGCTGCTGTCGCTGCTGCTGCTGCTGCCGTTGCTGTTGTTGTTGGTGTGGGTGCTGAGCCTGCTACCAAGAATGGACGAGTGCAACGCCCTCTGCTGCTGTCTGTTATTGCTGCAGTATACTGAAGACTCCTACTTTCTTTTTTATCATTTCCTATTCCGTATGATAAATCTTCTCTGCATATATCATCTAATGTAGAAAATAGGCGTTCCCCTCTACCTCCTCCTCCTGCTGCTGCTGGTGGTTGTGCGTCGTCTTCATCTTCTTCTTCTTTTTCCACGGGAGAAAAGTCACGTGCAGCTGCGGCTGCTGCAGCTGCATCTACAGGGGAATATAAGTCTGCTGCCGCTGCTGCCCTGCCTGCAGCTGCTGCTGCTTGTAGTTCTATAGCAGGAGACATACCTGCTGCTGCTGCTGCCGCTACTTCTTCTTCTTGTTCTTCTTCTGCATTTTCACTACGATAAGGGAGTCTTGTTGAGGGAGAAAGGATCCCTTCTATTCCTCCTTCTTCTCTTTTTCCTGCTGCTGTTGCTGTTGCTGCTGCTGTTTCTGCTGTTGCAGCAGGCGACAAGCAAGTATAGGAGCTGCGTCGTCTACCCCACATTGCACCTCCGGCCTTAATGCTGTACACAGCAGCTACGTATAGATATACGTATATATATTCATACTATATGTATACATACATACATGGTAATATGTGTATATCTACATATTCTCGAGCATATGCCTAGCAGAATACCCATATACGGTTGTAGGCTGTGCTTTTATATATCTGTTTAGGCGACAGTGTCTATCGACTTGTCTTATAGTATTACCACTACATCTTTGGCGCGCATGAATATGTATGCATCCCTATTATGTATAGCAAAGACGTGTGTAACTGTAGTTGGTAGAAAAGCTTACACGTGCGTATATATGTATACGTACATGCACGCTACTGAAGATACGTGTAGTATTACCACTGGCATCTTCGGCATACATGTATTGTATGCGCATATATGTATACATATATACATATATGTTCACAAATGTGGACGTGTCTCTACGCGTATATACGTGCTACCTTAGAACCCACACGTATATATAATTTTATACATACACGTTGTAGGTTAGTGTGTGCAGTTATATGTGTGTGCATGAATAAGGAACATATTACGAGCCATCATGCGAGGCGTATATGCAGCAGAGAAGCAGCGGCATAACGGGGAGGTGCTGCTAACTCCTGCTGCTAATCCTCTCACTCCTTCTCTACAATAGAAACACCATTATTGCTGGTGAATGGCGACTTCGGATGATAGATGTACATACATATGTACGTACGAGTACATATATGCGTACATATCACGCATAGATATGAATATATATATATATATATATCTATGTGTATACGTCTGTGTATATACTTACAAATTACTAAGAATAAGGAGGCAATACATACAGGCGCTATGTACGTATATATTTTCAACATACAGGCGGTACGTATGTACGTATTTCCAGCATAGAAGCAATATGTACGTCTATACTCCCAACATACAGCCGCGGTATGTATGTATGTATGTATGTATTCCCAACATACAGGCGGTGTGTTGTATATATTCCAAACATACACCCGCGGTATGTATGTGGGGATTTGCAACATACAGGGGGTAAGTATGTATATATTCCCAGCATACAGGCGATGTGCATGTCTACATTTCCAACATACAGCCGCGGTATGGATGTATATATTTCCAGCATACAGCAGCGGTATGTATGTATAGGTTTCCAACATACAGCCGCGGTATGTATGTATGTATAGACTTCCACCAAAGTACAGGCGGTCTGTATGTATATATTTCCAACATACAGGCGGTCTGTATATATACATTAACAACACACAGGGGGTATGTATGTACGTATATAGTCCATACATACAGGCGGCATGTATGTATAGATTTCCAACGTACAGCCGCGGTATGTATTTATATGTTGCTGCTGCTGCTGGTTCTGCGGCACCAAATTCGACCCAGTTTGTGTTGATACGCCCAGTGCGTCTACTGGTGGGTTGGGAAGTCGAGAAATAAAGAGAAAACACGAAAAAGACGGGCTATTCGCCTCCACAGTGGCACACATGATCCTTTGTAGGCCTACGCGCCGCACCTACTAAGCAGAAAACAAGTAAAATGGGCTATTTGCCTTCACAACGACGAAGGCCTGTTCGTTGTAGACCTATCCGCCGCATGTAGTAAGGACAGAATAAGAGAACTTGGGCCATACGCCTCCACAAGGACACAGATCTCTCCTTTCTAGGCCTGCACGGCGCACGTAATAAGGAGAAAACAAGTGAAATGGAGTTTTCGCCTCCACAGTGACAAACATTCTTCTTTGTAGACATACGCGCCGCACGTAATAAGGAGACAACAAAAGAACTTGGGATATTCGCCTCCACAATGACGAAAACCTCTCCTTTGTAGACCTACGCGCCGCACGTAATAAGGAGAAAACAAGAAAATTCGGGCTATTCGCCTCCACAACGACGCACATCTCTCCTTTGTAGACCTATGCCCCGCACCTGATAAGGAGAGAACAAGGAAGTTGATGAATGGGCTATTCGCCTCCACAATGACGAAGACCTCTCCTTTGTAAAGCTATGCCGTGCACGTGATAGGGAGAAAACGGGAATATTTGGACTATTCGCCTCCATAGGGACGAAGACGTCTCTTTGCGGACCTATGCCCCGCACGTAATAAGGAGAAAACAGGTGAAAATGGGCTACTCGTCTCCACAGTGACAGACGTTCCCCTTTGTAGACCTATGCGCCGCACGTAATATGGAGAAAACAAGAAAACCTGGGCTATTGGCCTCCACAATGACAAGCACTCTCCTTTGTAGACCTATGCGCCGCACGTAATGAGGAGAAAACAAGAAAAGCTGAGCTATTCGCCTCCACAATAACAAGCATTCTCGTTTGTAGACCTATGCGCAGCACACAATAAGGAGAAAACAAGAAAATCTGGGCTACTCGCCTCCACAATGACGAGCATTCTCCTTTGTAGACCTATGCGCCGCACCTAATGAAAAGAAAACAAGAAAATTTGAGCTATTCGCCCCCACAATAACAAGCATTCTCGTTTGTAGACCTATGCGCAGCACACAATAAGGAGAAAACAAGAAAATCTGGGCTACTCGCCTTCACAATGACGAAGACCTCTCCTTTGTAGACATATGCGCCGCACGTAATAAGGAGAAAACAAGAAAACGTCGGCTATTCGCCTCTACTGTGACACGCATTATCCTTTGTAGACCTATGCGCAGCACGTCATAAGGAGAAAACAAGAAAATCTAAGGTATTCGCTTCCACCATGACAAACATTATCCTTTGTAGACCTATGCGCCGCACGTAATAAGGAGAAAGCAAGAAAATTTGGGCTATTCGCCTCGACGAGGACGCAGATCTTTCCTTTGTAGACCTACGTGCCGCACATAATACTGCTGCTCGTGTTGCTGCTGCTGGTGTTGTTGCTGCTTCTGCTGCTGCAATTCCGCTACACCGCAGGTAGCCCGTCAGCTGCTGGGTCTGCTAATCGTTAAAAAACGAAAAAACGGATAAAGTTGGATTAGAGCAATTTATGCCCTCTGAGGG